GCTATCCCTTATAGCCGAGAGATTAGATTTTTCAGCATATGGCATGAGCTTGATGAGGGCATTTGTGATTTAATACACAAACACACATAACAAATCAACACAATAAACTGGATAAAATGCGAAAATTTGGTTAAATAACGGGACGAAACGGTTGCATTGATTGCGTTCCAATTTGTCGAATGGCGAAATTATATGTTTGTGACCATGAAACGTTTCGTTTGCTGTATCGACCATTGCGAGGTCATGAACTGAACCGATTTTTGATCGAAAGACTTCAACGCAACGGAATCCACATCAAATTGACACAAAAATAATCATAAAATAACAACACCGAAAACCTATTTTCTTCTCATTGGCCAACAAGCGACGACAATTAAACGATACGAAATAAATGGGCATTGTCCCATTGAAATCCATGGCATTAAAATTGATTCGTTTCGACCATCGATCACAAGAAGAAATTAAAAAGAAAAATAAATTACGTCAAATGTGGCATGCCTTCGTCCACTGTTTTGTGAGCGTGGGATTAATTGAATTCATCGCTGTTTTCATAACAAAAAATTAGCACGTCAAATTGACAGTGTATTAAAAAGTACAAGCCGAAAGTGACACTCGAAAAATAATCGTTGAATGTGCGCGCGGCAGCAACAACAACAGCAGCATCGACGGCGTTATGCACATCGCAAGCGATTTATTTCAAAATGAGCATAAAATTGAAGAAGACATTCCATTATGGAGTATTTCGGTCAAATTTATGTTTATGCCCGTAATTCAATTTAATGTCTGCATTAAATGAATGCCATGAACCAGAAAGGAAGCAATGAATATCGAGTAGTGGCAGAGTGTGGAGGCACTGTAGGAATACGTTATGTGTGTGTATTTGGCAGCCGGTATGTGGTACCTTATTTCGTACAGCTTCTTATATTGTATGGTCAGACGCCATGACAAAATCAGACGAAACAAAACAAAAATAAATCGCCATGTGCGTAGCGCCAACCGGCGACAAATCAAACGGTATTTTAATTTTCAGTGCAAACACATCTCGATGAGAATTAATCTGTTTTTATCTTATTTCTTTGGTTGGCTGGCTTCGAATTTCGCACACCATTTTGATTCTGTATCTTTATTGAAATTGACAACGACGACGACGACAAACCGAACAGAAACATGTTTACGCACAATTCTACTTATTTTCGACTGATAAAACTTTGGATCGCCACTCGACGCCTTCGACTCGAACTTATCGTAATGGATCTGACATTAAAATATAATTGATTTACTGAAATTACCAGGGTAATGTCGTCGGCATTTTACTCGGACGGGTCCGAGCGAGTTTTTTTTTCATCTTGTTTTCATGTAAAAATAACAAAATCAATGAGCGGAGGTGAAAAATGTGGTGATGAATCATTTTCGCGAAGAGAAAATTCGAAAACGGAATGGTGGTAGTTGAAAATTCAACGAAACTTATTTCCTCGAGATAAAACACATCTTTGACTTGAACCCGAGAGTCAGAGAAAGAGAGAGAGAGAGAGAGAGAGAGAGAGAGAGAGAGAGAGAGATAAAGTGGTTCAATCAAATGGATTCATTAAATGCACAAAGCCCGCGAAACCCGGCAACAGAAGGAAAGAGTTGAAAAATTCGCTTATTCTTGATTCGATTCTGGGTACCGAAGTGCCGAGAATCGGGTATACATTTCACGTTTAATCAACTTTTGCGTAATTTGTCTCATTTCGCGCGTTGCCATGACGACTCTCCTTTCTCGAATCTTGATGGAATTCCGTAAGACGAAATGAATTAATAGGAAGCCGTAACAGGATATTTGCAACTTTCAACTGTTATTCGATACCAAAATCGTTCTCTGGTGTACATTTTTTTTATTTTTTCTCTCGCTTCTGTTAGATTTTAATGACCCACATAGACAAAGTGTGCGCATTTCGATCATATATGCACACACTTAATTCCGAACACTATTTCGCATCACATTACGGTACATTAATCGATTTATTGATTGAATCTCATTGAAAATCAACGGATACTGCTCATTTTTTCATAATGGCAAAATGATTTAATTGAGTGTTGTAGTTCGATTTCTTTTTCTAATTATTCAAAAGAAACGTTAGGATAATGTTTATGTTGCAAAATGATTGATATTGAACTTTGGAATATAACTGTCTCGCTTGACTATAAATAAAATACAAGAGTCTGTGACCATAAACTATTATTACGAGCTAGCGAAGAGGAGGATAAAAAAGAGTTCACAGGCCCGTGAATTGAATAAAAACAAAACAAAACAATAACAACAACAGCCACAGCAACGACGATGGCATCGGACCAGCCGAGCTACAAGAAAATGACATAAAATGTGATATTGATGGTGGTTAAACGTAGGCAAACTTGTTTGCTGCTCTCGCTGAGCTGGCCATTTGCAGTATTCGCATGTATACCAATTATTACATTTACTTTTGTTCTCTTTTCCTTGGCCAGACGTTTCGCGACTTTTTCCTTTAGTTGTTGCTCAGTGCTTGTTTTTTTTTTCTTCTTTCTTCTTCGTTTTCTTCTCTTGCATTTGTAATCGCAGTGACTCTTACATTATACTCGTTTTGTGCACCATTACGTGCTACGTCTGTGATGTATGTACAATGCACACAGCACACCGAGATTGTCTCATGCACTTTTTTCCATTGCTGCATGGGACTTTCCTTTTCTCATTTTACATTTTCGATTACGTATGACCTTAACGTTGAAATGGCTATGAGCTACCGTATCAATATTCCAGCAATCGAATCAGAACTGAAATAACTGCATCCAAATGATCCTAAAGAAATATGAGCGGTATGAATTGAACGGTAATGAAACGGAACGAAATGAAACAAAAAAACACAATTCACACAAGATAGGGAAAGAGCGAGAGAGAGAGAGAGAGAGAGAGAGAGAAATTGAAAGATAGAAAGAACCAAAGTCATGTTGTGAAGAGAGAACAATGCCAAAATTAAAGAGCAAAAACCTCGAAAGAAATCGTTTGTTTGCTGCTGGTTTTTTTTTTTTCAAAGCAAATAGTGACGCGGAGAAGATAATAACTTAAGCGATAATCATCGGAGCTTTTTTCCTTGTGTGCGGCTATGCTACAAATTATTGCGCTAATCGAATCGCACAGCAGAACTCATGGAACAAGCAACCCGGGTTGTAATGTTACACATATACATGAAAAGCGCTAATAAAATAAAGTCTTTGCTAAGAAGTCTAAAAGCTGGGTGTAAGCATATACATGTGTTTATATATATAAAGAAAGCCTCTTTTCCAATTGTTTGTTACACAATACCAAAAAAAAATATTCTGTTATCCAAATGGAACAATCATAAAAGAAAAGGAAAATCTTTACTTTCCGCACTGGCCTTTTTAGTGTCCGTGTTTATTTTTTTGGCTTGCTTTCTTTCTTGTTGAGAACGGAGGCGCGCGCGCGCGAGCGAATTACAGAGATTTTCGGATATTTTCGGAGATTTTCGTAGGCTTGTGGAGGCACCGATTTAGTTTTTCTTTTCTTTTCTTTTCTTTTCTTTTCTTTTATTTTATTTTTTATCCGGTGTGTATTTTCATTTTTCTTTCTTCTCTCTCCATACTGGTGGCATGCGGTTTTGTTATTTTTGGTCCAACAATGTTTTCGTATTTTATGACAGAAAAAAAGAGAATGATAAGAATACACATAAACACAAAGTCACCATTCAAAAACCGAAATCACTGTGATAGAACATTGCATTAATCACGCAAAATAAGCTTAATGGAATGTTGAAAAATCGTTCGTAAATGCGTCAATTTTGCGTTCGTTTCGTTGATGCCGGTCGCTTTTACTTCTTACGGTTCTAGTCGTTAAATTCATTGGGTATGTGAGTCTCTGTTTTTTTTTCTCTGTTGGTATTCGGGTGCTGTATATGTGTTCCGTTTCAAATTCTAGTTCACTTGTAAACATAAAATACGAACCACAAAAAAAACGAGATCAATGCGTGTGCTTTTTTCGTCTCTTCTGTTAAACGGAATGTCGTTTCGCTTTTCTTTTCTTTTCTTTTTATTCACACACACACATACACACACATACACACAAAACTTATCGACTGTTTTCTGAATGACAAAAAAATGAATAACAAAATGCATGAAATAGAAATTTTTATGTTATTAAAATCCTCAAACAATGGCCGCCTTTTTTTGTTTATTTACTACTGAACAGTTTCTGTTTTTGGTCTGGTTGCTTTGTATTTCGATCAGAACACAATTTTGTATCTATATGTAATCCTGGAGCTCATAAGAGACATTTTCAGCGCTCTCTCTCTCTTTTTCTCAAAGTCTTTATGCCTGTCAACTATAAATCGTGTGTCCAAAGTTTTTAGTTTTGTGTTTTGCTATACTTTTGCTGATATTTCGTTTCAAACTGTATGTACAACATTTGAACATATTCGTTGTATACGCGCGCGGCTTTTTTGTCGCTTTTTCTTCTGTTCTGTTTTTCTGTTTTTGTTTTCGTTTTACAATGTATCAATTCTCATCTCACTTTATTCCGAAACAACCATATCACATGTACCGAAAAAGGCAGGAAAAAAAACACGCACACACATTCACTATGACTTACACACATAATTTACCGATTTCAAGTTTGTCGCTCAGCAAAAATTCGTTAAACTTTTGTTCTATCATTCAATCGGATGTGACTCGTCTTTTCAAAACCGAACTTTTCAAAACTTACATTGATTCATACAAACATAGACACGAGACCACTTTTACTACTGTTTTTTTTTTGGTTTAGTGTGTTCTCGGCATTGAGAGCAGAGCACACCACATCATACACATACACACGTCGATCAATCAACAGTAACAGTAAAAACAACCAATTACATTTTGGTTTCGTTTCTTTGGGGAAAAAAATAAACAAACATCGAAACGACTAAGAACGAATTCAAATTTGGTTTTGTTTTTCACTGTTGTTATAATGTGTTATCTATATAGGTCCGTACCTGATCGACGACGCATCACCTGCGAACTCTGAAACAACACTAGTGTCAACATTTTTCGGTTCGGCATATTTTGATTCAGTTGTCGATGCTTGCGTTGTGGATGCTTGCGTTGTCTTGTTGCCACTGCTGCAGCCGCTGCTGCCGCCGTTGCTATTGCTATCGGCTGTTGTGGTATTGATTCGCGTGCTGACATTGTTGCCGTTGCCATCGTTGCGCTGCAGCTTCGGTGAATGGACCGCAGCTGTTGTTGATGGAGCAACTGTGTTCGATTTGATTGTGCACACGGACGCACTGTCGGTTGTATCTTGTTTATCATCTGTGGAGCTCGATAGTGAGGCTGTCATTGATGTTGTTGTTGGAGTCGCAACCGATACGGCAACAGCATCTGTATTTTGCGTACTACTTGCGTTCGCATTCTGTCCATGCTCCAACGATGCTGCTGCTGCTGCTGGTGGTGGTAGCACTTTGCTCTGCTGCAAAGAAGAAAAAAGGCACACAATTCCAAATAACCAATGAGAATTTATATTACATACATTTTCAGAGCAATATTGAGTTTGGTATGCAATTGAATTATATGCCTGTTGTTTTCTCTGATCTTATTTTAGTAATTGGTAAAACAAAAATGCCAACGATTTTCTGATTATTCTTCTTTATTTCGGTTTACGTTCGGTTCCGAATTCAATGAGTTATTAAAGGAGGAGAGCAGAGCGAGGAACGAAATAAATAAATAAATAAATTACTTATATGTGAAAGAGTGAGAAAAGCGAACATTTAATTAAAATCCATCGCTATAACGATTTTTTTTTACACGGATGTATCGGAAAAACAACTGAGCCACCGAGTTAGTTCGCATTTCCGGAAGCGACTGTGCGTATTCCGTAAATCAAATATATCAAAGGGAAAACCTCACTTAAAGCAAAATCTCATGAATGGATTGTAGATAAAATTTAAAATTGCCCGATGCGAAGCGAATGATAATAAAAACATTTTGCAATTCTGTTTGTTTTCAATGTTCGACGATTTCATTCGTGCAATAAATACAGTAGCTTCTCACTCAGTAGATAGCGATGCAGTGCTGCTGCATTTCACTCGGGCTATAAATGGGATGGAACTTTTTAAATTCTATCAATGAAAAATGTAAAACCCGTGCTGCATCGAATGACAATTTTTACCAACGATTGAGCATTTAGGGTACGACAACGGTTTACGGTTTCACTCAGCGATCAACTTATACTGACTGACTGACTGACTGATGGAATTTCGCATAAAACATAGTTCTTGTTGCTATTTTTTTCTCAGCGCGTTTTTTCACTTCAAAAGCAAAAATGATAACTAATTCATTTGAAACGAAATTGAAAAATATCAGCGGAATACGACGACCAGATTCAGCCAGAAACGAAAGAGAAAGGAAAAAAAAACACTACAAAATGCGATATATTATTTGATGTTTCAATATGTTGTTTAAGCCATTATGTTCTCGTTCGTTGTTCATTCATGGAAAACATTCAATTTTTTATTCGCTCTCCCCTTGTTTTACCAGCTCTTCTCGAGATTCTTTCTCATAATAACAGGGAAAAATGGGCAATATCGAGCGAAATAATTAATTGCAATAACAAATTTTGCATTGTTCACTCTTTTTTCACCCGTCAACGTAATGCGGTAGCATTCCGATGTTCGTGCAAAACATTCAGAACATTCCGATTACCGTCTTTTTTTTTCACGCTCAATCCAGCCACACGGACTAGCAATGCTGCTATTTAATGACAAATATTCACGGACTATCGGACGATTTACCGTCGGATGGCGAAATGAATGGAATTGTACGAATATTAAACTATATTTGATATATGGCTTTTGCATGTTTCATTTTTCTGCCGAGATCAAAAATTATTATGCTCGTGTTTGATTCGATTGATATCGGGCGCTTTTTTCTGCTCTATTTGCCTCCAAAGAAATTATTGTCATTCTCTACTGTTCGACTTACCGATTGATTTAATTCGCTTTTTTCATTTGAGATGCCATTTTCTTGTTCGAACACTTCATCATTTAAATGATCGCCCTCATTGTTCTTAGAAGATAAGGGGTTGGGATTGCTCTTGTTTGGATTCGTCGTCTTATGGGCGTCATCGCTTCGGTTCATACCTAATAACATGAATTTTCCATTATATATAAATATATTATTTATCTTGACGAAACCATATCAAAGAAATACCATCTGCTTTTTTTATTTTCCTTCAACGTCATTATATCAAAATGGAAAAAGGCCAACCAACAAAAAAAGTTGACAAAGAGCAAAAAAAAAAAAAAATCAAAACATATGCTTACCAATTGATAATCCAGCCGCCGTAGTTTTGTTACCATTGTTATCTGATTTGGAGCTGGTGCTACTGCTGCTGCTGCTGTTTTTCGACGATGGTGTTGACATCGATTTTTTCGATGCGTCTTCCGAGGGATCTTTTACTTTGACAGTTGTTGCGACAACAGTGGCGGTTGATGTTGTTGTTTTGCTTGTGTTGGCGTTGGAAATTTTCTGCTTTGTAATGCTTCCATAGTCAGCGGGTGGGCAAACAGTGGCTGTTTCTCCTCGGCCAACCCCCGTCGCTGTAATGCTGTGCAATTGATTGTTGGCACTCAATGCAACTTGATTGGTATTCGTGGCCGCTTGATAGTTGCACGTTTTTTTCACATTATTCAAATGCTTCATAAAATCCTCGGCATAGCGAGTCGTTTTAATGTCAATATTTTGCATATCATCGTTATAATTGGTTGACATTTGACTGTTGGTCGATATGCGGGCACTACTTTTACGGCTAAAATTCCCATCATCGAAATCCGATGAAAAATAACTGGAAGAGCAATCACAGTTGCGGCACTCATATCGGCAATTATCCGAAAAGCTACACTTATCACCGTCAACACATGGTTGACATTCATAGCCGAATTGACAACTTTCGGCACTGCCATAGTATCGACGTTGGGCAGGATATGAAAACATTGAATCACCCATACTTGAATCACTCATTTCCGCCTGTTTATAGTAGCGATTATTTGAATTCTCACTCTTAATCGACATTTCGCTCAGAATGGATGCCTTTGAATCCGTTTTATAGATTTTCGGCCGCAATTGTTGATTGTAAATCTGTTCGGTTGAACAATCGTAGTAGGTGCCCTTGATCGATGGTTTCGTATATTTTTGATGGTGATGCAATGAATCACTGGACGACGACGATATCTTTTGCGTGGCGGTCTTGTGAATCGGTGCATACTTTTGGATTCGATAAATTTCCTCAATCGGATTGTAATCGCTGGTGAATGCAACTGGTGTGGTTTCAATTTTGTAAACGCCCGGGTTATTCGGATTATACGACTGATACTGCAGGACGCTGGGTGTTGTCGTTTGAACAATATTACTGATACTGATACTTTCATGTGAATCGGATGCACGGAGTTTTTCATGGCCGCCAATGCTACGAGTTTCATCGAGTGGTGTTTTACATTTGATCGTTGATTGCGCGTGAAAATTTCGAGCATTCATCGCATCTTTTCTTTGTTCACTAGCCTTGCAAATGTCGCAATTTTTATCGGTACACTCTGCTATGCACAGCTCACAATCCGGGTAATTAATAAGATTTTTCAATTTATTTGCTTTTTGTGGATTTTTCTTGTCCGTGTAAAAGATCTCCTCATAGATATTCTCCTCACTTTTCGATATCGTTTGATTCACCGATGCTGACCGAAATTTGGTCGTGGATTTTTTGCTTGATTTTAGGCTTTCTTTCAGCAGATAGTAGTTAAAGCTTTTTATCCCAATTTCACCGCGTAGAAACCGTTTGCCAATTTGAAATTTAGTCATTTCTTTGGTCTTCTGCTGATCCAATTGCTCGAATGAGTGTGCTTCGCTGCGTGCCAACGACGAATACTTTCGATCATTCAACGATAGCATTGACGATAATTGTTTTGGCCGCTCTTTCGTACGCGATAAACGCTGTGATTCATTCAGAAATGCTTCATCGTCATACAAATCGGTCGCAAACTCATTGATTGACCGTGGACTTTTCATCAGTAGATTTTCTTTGCTAGATGCTTTACGATGATAGATTTTGTCCAGGCGTCGATTTTGCGTTTCTTTTTCACGCTGGAAACAGAGCATTTGTTTCTTTTGCTGTTTGTAAATGTTTCTGTCGAGACTTTGGCCACGACGCACATAATTCAATTCATCCGAACTGGTTGAGTCTTCGGAGCGAAAATTTTTCCCATATTTATCATTGAGTGCGGCTATTTTTTGCTTTGCATCATATTTATAGCTTTGATTGGATTGCTTTTTACGTGGTAAAATGTGCATTGTATTATACTTTTCCGTATCACGATCAAATATTTTACCATCCAAAAGGGAACAGGATTTGCGACGTACCGAATCTGGACCACTATTCCGACGCATTGGCAAGGCCAAATGACGAACGTCTTCTGTGTATGCGGGATCGTTTCGATATATTTCGTCAGCGTGCCGTGGTTGAGCCGCTAGATCCTTGAGCTTCATAGAATGGAAAAGAGGTCAAGAGAAAATAAATGAAACTCAATTTAAAACAGACAATCGAATGGAGACTGAGTGAGAGTGAGAGTGAAGCGAATGTGAGTGTGTGAGTGAGAGAGGGAGGATTGATTATGGATGAAATGGTAAAAAACATATCTTCGTGACAGATTAATGCATCAAACTGTTTGGTATCTAGGTGCACCAATGTAAAATAGTGTATGTTCAATCTATGCTTGATCTGTGTGCATCACAGGCGAACTCTGTACGTGTATGTGTGCGTATGTGTATGTGTATGTGTATGTGTGTTGTTCGACCGAAAGGCTTTGACAGACAGTTTCAATTGGCATGGTTATGCACACATGAAGAGTGTTCGACCGACTGAATGGGCGAGTTAGGGAGATGGAATATGAAAATCTCATTTTTAAAATCGAATCATGCATATGTACGGGGGCATATGTCTTTCCATTTGGTAAATATGAATCTGTGCTCATGTAAACCTCGAACGACTGTGACTTGCTTTCGTTCTACTGTTATTCAATTAGGGCAATTGTTAGGCTTGATATATCTTTTTGAATGTCATTCAACGGTCGCTTGTTCTGGCTTCTTTTTTTCTCTTTCCCTCCCTTTTCGTTGGCTGTCGATTCGCCATTTCGAAACTAATGAAAATGGAAAATGTTATATGTGTTTCGAGGAAACGTTTCCGCATGAATATTAAATCAACTGGTAAACGGTACATTTTCATTTTCAACACGATCGCTGTCTCGCTCGGGCGAGAACCAACAACAACAGAAATGCCCAAAAATGAACTTATTTTGAGAAAAAAAAAAGAAAAAATCGAGAACAAACAGAAAGAAAATATTTTCTATTGAAAGAAAACAGTGGAGGAGCTATTGGCGAAACTCAATACAATAGGCAAGCACTTGGTGTATGTCACGAGGGAGAAGGTGGTGATTATACACATGTAAAGTCCTAACACACTTTGGCTTTATTTTTTCCCCGTCTTTCTGTTCTGAAATTGTGTTAATGCTTAGACATACGATGTGCAGTTTCTAGAAGAATAATTGCAACGTTTGTTTTTCCTTTGGCAATTGCCGATGGTATACGTATCCAAAGCTAGAGCCCATCATCCGTATCGATTTCTTTAGCCTTGAGCTGATTTTGTCTATGCTTTATTATTTGTTGGCATCCCCCATCTTTCTTTATTTTCTTTCTCTATCTCTACTTCTAAGTGCGACCATGAGTTCTTGGCTTGGCGATGTTGTCGCAATTCCAATAGCAAATAATGCATATTAAGCACAAAAAATAATAAATTAGAGTAAAACGTCATCATCGCCATCGCCGTTGCCTCGTTGTGGTTGTTGTTTGGAGTGAGGAGTGAGCAGTGAGCACTGAGTAAATGTATCCATAATTCTTATGGTGAAGTAAGTGTAAAAAAAAAAACAACGCCGAGGCACAAACAACATGGTCGTCTCAATTTTAAATTCGAATTGTGTTTTTTTTTTGTCTCGATTTTTCTGCTGTTGTCGTTTTTGTTGTACGAAATTTATATGCATCATCTTAAAGTGCTTGAGTGATGAAGCGGATTTAATGTGTTTCTTTTTCTTCGTCATCTCGATCGAGGTTAAATAATTTCTCCTTCAACAATACAATCGTCAACAATTCAATGGGCTTGCAATGAATTGCAATCAGCTTCCACTTGAGCTATTTTCCAAATAGCAACAACCACAGAATCAACAAAAGCAACAAAACAAAGATTATGGCACACAACTTAATAGAGCTTATTAAGCGGGCACTTAGGACAGCGAAAAATGCGGTCATAATGAAAATGTCACCGTGCTGCTTGTGCTCTCTCTCTCTCTCTCTCTCTCTCTCTCTCTCTCTCTCTCTCTCTCTCTCTCTCTCTC